TTTTTACTGAAAACTATAAATACCTGAGAATTTTGTACCATAATTGACACTGTTTTAGAATAGCATTCCTTTCACTTGTATTCTGTCTTCTCATTTGTGACTTGGAGGGTTCTAACGTTCGATTGCTCAAGTTATACAGGACATAGTAAGAATCAGAGCCCTAGATACAACAATTCTACTGACTGTTCTTAACAAACATATCAGAAATTACAACTAGATAAGTAAAACTGTTTTTTAATGACTTCATTTATAAGACAACAAAATCAATTTTAATCTGTGTGATGTAAAGGGAGAAAATATAGTGGATTAGTTGAAGTTAGACATTAACAACGTTAGATGCCGGCCGATTCAGTGGTCTAGTTGGTTAAGCGCCTGGCGTGAGACTGATAGGTCCTGTGTTCGAATCCCGCGAGGCGGGGTCGTAGATGGACACTGCTGAGGAGTCACACAATAGGACGAAAAGGCCGTTCAGTGCTTCTAGGTTTTCCATAGTGGTCTAGCTTCAATTGTAGCATGTTCTCAACTGTTGAAATTACTACAATCTCCACAAAACCCATTCTGATACAAAAGAAAAAAAGTCAAACATCAAATGCAAAATAGATCACTCTAAATGAAACATTATCTGTTACAAAGTGGGTTCTACCTTCATCTTTTTCTCAAGCACAAATCAAGCGACAAACAAAACGTTGAGTTTTGTTGATGGAGATGTAAAAGCGACGATTGTCAAAGCAAGGCCGGCATTCCTACAACTGAAAAATATATGGAACTCACAACCCACTGTATGGAGCTGAAACGTCGCGAATTACTACAACAACCATTAAAGATGTAAAAGTATTTATAAATAGTTGTCTGCACAAGATACTCAATATCCGTTGGCCCGATACCATCAGCAACAGTCTTTTGTGAGGTAAGACAAACCAGGTTCCAGCTTACGAGGAGATTACGAAAAAACGATGAAAGTGGTTGGGACATATATTGTGGAAATTTTCAAACTACATCACGAGATAAGCCCTAATTTGGAATCTTGAAGAGCGAAGGAAAAGAAGAAGGCTGATGAACACACTTCGTCGGTAAACGGAAGCAGATATGAAAAGAATGAATAGTAACTGGATGAAGTTTAAAGATTTAACATCCATCTGCACATTGTATGTGCTTTATAATATCGTATAAATTAGAGTTACGTTTGAATGATTATCATAATTCGTTAACATGTGAATATCTTTTCAAACCTATTTGATCAACAAGGAAAACAAGTTTTCACCTCAATTCTATGAAGTAACATAGATAGTAACTAAGCATGAAATTGTTAGTTCCAGCATGAATAATAAATGATCAAATGAAAGAAAAAAGTGTATAGTAAACATTCATTGCGTGAATGAATCTCATAAAAATATTTAACTTGAATAAGTATAAAGTAATTGAAAGGTAGCTAGACATTCGTTTTATTCTAATTGTACCTTATCGTCTAGATATACCAGTATCTCAGCCTGAACATTCACTGTGAGACTGCGATTCAATATTAGTCACGTTAAATTCTAACACATTTTTGACTTAGTTACAAAGTATCAGAAACTAATTATAAAACATTGATCATAGTAACAAAGAGGTAATCTGTTGTCTAGTTCGTTGACTAACATTTCATCAAATCAAGAAAGAATAGTTGATTCTCTTCCAAATATAAGTGAACTTTGACCGGTTGTTTTAGAAGGTTGCTTTTTTCCATCTTTATTATATAGATGAATTTTGTATTGTTCAAAACATGTATAGTGTTAGTGATTAACTGGTTTAATCTACGGATTCATATTTTGTCACATTAATTACACTTAGGATGTAGTTGTAAATTCTCAGAGAATAAATATGAAGAACATTCAACGTTTCATCTAGCAAACTGATCCAAACTTTTACAACCATTTTTCTTTTTTTTTAATGTATCACATCCACCCGGTGTTCAAATACTATGAAACTAATCTACCAAATTAGACGAAAGTTTATATATATTACTGAGGATCCTTACGGGTACTAGGTAAGGATGGCAAATCAATTGGGATGGACGGGACATGTGTTAAATATGCCCAACCACCGACTTTCCTGACCTGCGATGTTTTATTGTGTAGGAGTGGGTTATAAGAAAACTAGGGGCACACAGAAGAAAAGATGGCACAAATCCATGAAGTCACTGACAAGTGGTCTAAGCTATGTATCCAAATTCTAATCTTCTTAATTCTTCGTGTCTCGTTTTGTTCTTTTTGCAAATGTATTTCACCGGATTATACTTCTTGAATAACATCTTCAAACTCTATTATTTCCGATTACTGCTTACAGTTTTACTAGCTCTGCCACTATGGAATTTGAATAGATATTCGTATCTCTGTGCTAATGTGTTATGGCAATTCGAACTGATGAACGTACGAAGTTCTACGCTGTTGCTGACTAACTGACTGATTACTCAGGATAAAATTTAGAAAGTTTTATTTTCCAAAGAAAAACATTTGATTGACAGTACATTTGTCTAAAGCACACGTTTGTACTCACATAACATTCATCCATTAATTGTTAAGTGTCGTATACATGAGGATTAAAGAACTTACGAGATCATGTCATTCTAACCACATAGAAAACATTGAAACGTAGTTAATAATCAAAATTTACGTAATTAGTCTTTTTCAATCTATCCGACAGATTCATTTGAATATACTCTAAGAAGTAACCATACACTGACAATGGTCACCACTCAGTGATAAGTTTTTCCCGAAACAATAAATATTGCTATTCAGCCACTACATGTAACTAACCAGTGATGAACAAAAGGTGTTATGCACTTGATGAAGGTTAACTTAAAATCATACATTTCAAATTATCATTGATGTAAACTTTAATTTGATCAGAAATAAAGAAACAACTGATGATACTGTTTAAAGTACGAAACCTCCTGAAGTTTTCCTACATGATAAGGTTTTCAACAAAAGAAAAACGAGTGAAGAATAATTCTATGAACAAACAAATAGTTAAGTGTAGAGTGTTTATTATCATTCTAGACAACATCTTCAGCATAAGAGATCATAATTTTGATTTGAACGATGCATGTTATAATAGTAGTAATTGTTAGATACTTATATTTATTATTTTCAGAATCAAATGTCTTCAATGATAAGGTAGTCAATCATATCGTGTTTAGTGATGTTAGAGGAGGTCAAAGCAAAACGTGGCATCAGTGCTTGAAGTCACTAACTTGTAGTGTGAAACAAGTTAGGGTCCGTGTGACTATCGAAATCAATGGTTGGAGATTCTGTGGGTGACATGGCTCAGAATCGATCACAATGGTGTAAGTGTATACACTCTCTGTCTTCCCTTTAAACTGTGAGATTAAAATTGCTTCATATGTTCCTTTTCATAAACTAATTTTTTCTTTCTGTACTATTTATTTATATGCAATCTTTCATTCATATGTAACCATCACTGAATTCATTACTTCTATAAAGCTGGTGCTCATCTTGTTGTGCTCATGAGATATGGCAACTTGGACAGTTACATATATGTACGTGATCCTACGTTGTAGCTGACTGACTGACGTTTTAGTGATGTATTCGTAATATCATACGTATTTGTTATACTAATTAATCATTGTAACTCAGTTCATACAGTAATAAATGTTTCTTTTGTCTAGACATGAATAGAGCTAGATGATTGAATTAAATCTAAATTTCATGAGTATTGAAAGATTCTTGAATATAATGTAAGCAACCAAAATCTTTTCATATAATTATTACATGAATAGTTATTCAATAAAAAATCTTAGCGCCCTCTAAAGTTTTGTCATGTTATTGTGGTATGTACTACTGATGTCGACAGATATAAGTAGTATTGATCATCAATTGGAAGTGAAATGTCTAGGTGCAGAATGTTAAGATCGGTGGAAAGAGAACGAGAACAGAGAACGATTGATGTGGAAACATAAGAACATCGACATTTTGCAAATTAAGTATTTACTGTAAGGTTTTCAGATTTTACTAAGAGATTTCGTAATTTTGTATTTAAGTGTATTTGCTTATCCCCATTTGTGTTCCCATTCAGTACAACCCTATAGATACACATTAGTGCCGAATCCTATACTAGAACGAAACCGGCAGTTCAGTGCCTCAAAGTTCTCAAATGGTTCTCTAATTTAGATTGAGTTTTGATCATGATAAAATGTATTTACATCGGTCATACTACTATTTCACATTTTAAATAATGATAATCACAGTCCTATAAGATGAAACTATTTCACACAAAATATCATTGTTTCAATTAGTTACGTGTATATAACTAGATCATATGCAATACTGACGTCAGATATTCAAACATATACGTGGAAATATGCATATTTTTCAGTATTGGCTAATAATAAAATGTATCCCACATAATTTGTTTTACGTAAGACTAGTTAAATGACAGCATCTACATGCAACGTGTAACGTGGATGACTTTCCTGATCTGCCATATTGTATGAATATTTCATGTACCTAAATTAATGGTTGCTCTGATTGTCAGAAAGAGCATCCTTTTCATGAATTCCGAAGGAACTCGGCTTTCATCAAACAGAAGTTATAACTCTTCAAAATGAAGACCTTCTAACTCCCAGGGCAGAGTTTAAATGGTTTAAATTATTTTTTTTCTCGTTAGAGTTTTTTCTACATGAGGGGGTCATTAATCCCATGCTCAACCCTTCTCCTTTATCCAGGCTTGGCAGTGGTAGTACACCCGGAGGGACTCCAGGCGGAGTACAACATCTACATGCTAAAGAATACACCAACAATAATCGAGTATTACCTAGTTCATTATTATCTATCTATCTATCATAAATATTCTACCCTCTAAACCCTTTTGAAAATTAAAAGTGAAGAACAAAACATCACTCTTATGACAACAATTCAGAATGCATAAAATCGATTACATTTATATCATTAGTAAACATGTTGATGAGTACATCTAGTACATTCAGTACAGTATTAATCACTTACCAGTATAATTTTGACCAGTAAATAATAATAAAGATATCCACATTATCCGAATGATTTGATCCATACAAATTATGGTTTATCTTTATTTATACTCAGTCAATACTTATAGTAATATATGGATTTACATGGAATAGAGGTATTGCATTTATGTATATATGACGGTATACCTTCATAGGTATCAAAGTAGACTCCATCAATTGTCATATTTGTTAACTACATTTACAGTAAACCTAATCTATTGTTGCTTAGGTTGTTTTAATAATAATATCAATAATCCATTGGTATTGTTTCTGGGTCATATGTAATTCATTCATTTCATTTATTAGAAAATCATATGTTTAAGACATAAATAAATAGGAAAATAATCTAAGCTTATGATTGGTTGAATTATTTGATTGGCTAATTCATGTAATAATAAATAACCAGGGATATATATATATATATGGTATGTATGTATGTATGTAATTTCAACAGTTGAGATCATGAATCAATTGAAGCTTGACCACTATGGAAAACCTGGAAGCAATGAACGACCGTTTCGTCCTATTGTGCGACTCCTCAACAGTGCGCATCCACGACCCTGCCTCGCGGGATTCGAACACAGGACTTATCAGTGTCGGCCGGCATTTAATGGTGTTAATGTCTAACTTCAACTAATTCACGAAATTGAGCGGCACATCCACCATTTTCATAATTGACATACTACCTCACAACTGAAATGGATTTCAATGATCAGTGATGAATTCTAGAACGGTTATGAATTTCTTATTTGATACTGGTAAGCCAAACGAAAAAAAACACATGATATGTGATGATGTAGTATTGTAGTGAACGAGAATGAAAGCGGCAAAAACCGAATGTATTGAAATACAAAATGACAGAACATCTTGGTAAAATCTAAGAATCATACATGGAATACTTCATTTACAAAATATCAATCCATCGTCTCAAACTTGATTGTTCTTTGATTTCCATACTCACCATTCTTTGTTCTCGTTCTCTTTTCTTCCATCAACTTAATCTTCTTCCACCAGACATTTCAACGAGACTATACATTATGAACGGACCAATCAAATATAAGATAACGAGTTATGAATTTTGGTGTGCAATTCATCTACCCATTTGGCTAAATAGAGTTTTGGTATTTTAGCTGATATCATTTCATGATAAAAAGCATAAATCTAATTTCTAATCCTCACTTAACCTTTATTAGTAGAAGTTCATTCTCACTTCAGTGTCGGGCAAAGGTTTTCCATAAATTATAGTCTCAGCGACATTTCACTTTATACTGATGATATATACTACTTATATCTGTCGATATCAGTAGCACACACCACAGCATTTGTTGTGATATGGCCTGTTCATCCTAAAGCTATCTATTATTAAGCATTATTTGTTGTTACTAACTGTCATACTGTGGAATTGCAGCGAACGACAACACGGAATACAAAATAATTTAATAAAATCTGAGAATCATACAGCGAATACTTCAATCAACTGTCTCAAACTTGATTGTTCATTTTTCATATATCAGTCGATCGTTTCAGACCTTCACTACGGAATAGATAGTGTTACCAATGAACAGATACTGTGGCGTACTTCGTTTTTTTCTTGTCTTGTAACACGGATGAATTTTATAACTCAGTTACTTTTGTTTGTTATAACATTTACGGTTGAAGTTAATTTTTCCACCAAAATAACAATCTTTATTATATAAAAGGTCAATAAAGACTTCTCTAGTTGACTATTCAGTTCAAAGAGCACAGTATCTCCAAGAAGATAATTGACATATTGTTATAACTGGTGCTCTGTGTCCTATTAATGTATAACGTATTGATATCACCATTTAGAAAACAGTGATTTATCAACTGAACCAAGTGACGCATAAAAACCGTACGAGCAATCTAGAAACTTTATCGGTCCTATTAACTTCAGAACACCAATCTCACCCTCTGAGATATGAATCATTTATTTCAGACATATTGGGTTTATATAAACCAACCAAACAGATCATATTGTACCGTAAAATAGAAAATACACATTTGTACAAGATCTAGCCAAAAGTGACTGTGAATGTGAGAGATCATGATTGATAGACTGAGCATAACTTCAGAACGGTAAATCGTATCATAACAACCTATAGCTTATAATAAGGGGAACATGAATATGAATAGTTTAGTTTCCTGTGTATTAATAATAATTCGCTATAAATATCAGATTACATGTTTGAATTTATAAAATATTGGTAAGTTATAATATATTACTTCATATATATTTTAATGAAAATTGTTTACTAACTGTCAAACGTGATGACGTTTGAAACCAACAGTACTGGGTTCGAGTCCCGAGGCCAACATCAACTCTGAAATGCAGGTACATTCAACTGACGAGTTCCAAAATGGGACGAAACGCGCATCCTGGATTATACTGTTAGCCATTATTCATCTATGCTTATAATATTTATGGAGGTTTTGTAATCATTTCATAAACCATTTCTTTTAGAAAATTAAAACATCTTAGCGTTTTTTTTCACAAACTGCTTACACTTTCTGAATGGTTCTTACATTCTCCATCGGCTAATTATTCGTATAACTTCCAAGTCATTATTCTTAGATTGCATTCAACTTCTATTATTATTATTATTAGCTTTATTCAATATTGTATTTTTGGCACCATATAGTGTTCCAGCGAGTTTCCGTTTCTTATTTCTTGATCGATCCTGACGACAAATATTGAGTAGTTGCCAGCTAGAAGTTAGCAGTCTAAGAATCTGCATCTAAATAATGTACATTCTTTTTGCTGCTTATTATCAATAACCATGATATCTCTGATTGAGCCTTTTGTAACTTGTATACTTTTTAGAAACGCACCTGAATAGGTTATTGATGCATTAAAGCAAACAAAATTAGATAACTTATTGAAATATCTAAATGACAGGAACAGGTAGCCCAGATGATCGAGCAGGCCGCTAAGTCATATATAACTACATAAGTTCCCACAACTATTATACACCTTTATCAACACAGCATGCAAACCAAACACGCTCCAATAAAATCTTGCATTCAAAGAATATAACTTCAGATTGTGAATACTTTTCCTGTGTCTTACATACAATCCATAATGTTGAAGTACTTTGAATATTTATTCCTCTGATGAAAGAATACAAATTAATAAATTTAATAGTTGAATTCATAATTCAGTTAAATCTAGATCACCAAGGGGAACCTGTAATCGCTGGACGGGTGTTTCGTCTTAGTATGGGACTCCTCAACAGTGCGCAGCCATGATCCCTCAAGTGAAGTTCGAATCCAGGACTCACGCACGCAACTACTTTACCTGTAGACAACTGATCCAGCATACAACGTTGTTAATGCCTAACCTCAACCAATCCACAATATTACGCCACCATCCACCATTGTCTTCAGTGAGTCACTAACTCTAAAACTCCACTGATCACGACTCGTAAATTCAGCGATTAAATTACTACAATCTACACAATTATTTTCTTTTGCAATTGATTATTCATTGGAAATTGTAATGTCAATTTTGTTTTTCTTAAATTATAACAAGATGATTAATGAGAAAAAAATGATGAAAGTTATAAAAGTAACTAATAAAAGTATCGATTCTATATCAGAACACTTAAATATCGATTACCATGATGAGCAATGCTGAATGGTGTTGTGGATCGTCGGAAGAAAGTTAGGGGTGGGAAAACCAAAACATGGTATCAGTGCTTGAAATCACTAACTTCTAGTCTGATCCATGTTGGGAGGGGCAGACTACTTGGTTGGGGTCCGCGTGACTATCGTAATCAATGGTTGGAGACTGTGTGTGACATGGCTCAGAATCAATCACAATGGCGTAGGTGTATACATTCTCTGTCTTCCTTTAAAATTATTTCATATGTTTCTTTCTACGAACTAATTCTTTCTTTCTGTACTATATCCTTATTGCACTCTATTTTATATATACTACCACCATTGAAGTAACTGGTTCTACGAATTCGGTGTTCGTTTTTGGTGCGCTGGTGAGATATAGTAACTTGAACAGATGCATATATGTGCCTAGTTGTACGTTTTGACTGACTGACTGAATCTATACCAGTTCAATAATCATCACTCAAGGATTTTCGTTACCTCGTCAAGGACTAATCAATTTTACGTTACACTGAGTATCTGTTATCATCAAAAAAAGATGAAATGGTAATTATAGTCAATTCGTTGTATTATTTTTAAGTTGTATCCAATATTTTCAAGTATAAATATCTGACTCCCGATAGTATTGATCTGTATCTGTCATAAGTGTCTATAATAAATATGAAAATATAGAAATGATAAATATGCAATTGAGAATGTCTATGCCGTTACACAATAGACAATAATTGATTGTAAACGATTGACCTGAGTACTTATGTACATAATGTAAGGAAAAGATACCAAACTAAGATCCGTTGTTAGTTTCATGTAAAACGTGCATAATCTTAATAATAGTGGACAAGCATCTTATCATTCACTTGATATTGTTTTACTTGAATCTTCCAATTGATGTTTAAGACTGCAACTGATTAGTCTCTTTTATTCGCATATGTCCATATTATGCGGATTGTCTCAATATTGCCTTAATTATAAGCAGAGATGGATATTGGCTAGCAACTGAATCCAGGACGGGTGTTTCGCCACATTTGGGACTCGTCAGCTGGATGTACCTGTATTCCATAATTGATGTTCACTGTGGGACTCAAACACAGTACCGTTCACTACAAACGTCATCGCTTTATCCATTAAGCTACTGAGTCCTGATAGCCACTTGCTTGTGCGATGGGGTAAAGTTTAATTCACTTGGTATGATTTTACCTGAATGTTGAAGACTGCAATTGATCAATCCCTGATTAACATATGTGAACATCAACTCTGAGATGCAGGTACATCCAGCTGACGAGTCTCAAATAGGACGAGACACGCGTCAAACGGGATTCCTCAGCTAGTTCCTATCGATCTTTGCCTATAAGACATCCTATCAGTTTATTTTTGAATATTAAGACCTATTTCAAATGATAGTTTCTTCTCCCATTAACATTGAGATTGAAAGTAAACGAGTGTAAACTTTTAATGTTAAAGTTACAATAATAATGATTTCTAGAAATTGTTTTTTTGAAATAGTCACTTGGTATGTTGACAATATATGGGATTTTGTAAGCCTGTCTACTTATGGTGTGTGCTACTGATGTCAGCAGAAATTAGTAGTATGTATCTTTAATAGAAAATGAAACACCTGACAGCAGAAGGTTATAAAGCTTGAATGAATGATTGGTATGGAAACGA